TCCAGCACGACCTGGCAGGCATGAACATACGTTGATGGGCCGATGCTCCACCACAACTAACTTTGGTAGGAGAGAGAGGAGAGGGGGGAGAAGGGGGAGGAGGAGGACCTTCCCATCCTCACTTCTCCCCCGTCCTACCTGAGGTAGTGGTGGTGGACAGTTGGCCCATCAGATGTGAAGACAATACGGAGGAAGGAACCGAAGGGAGGGCGGAAGCTAGACGGCAGACCAACCACCCTCATGACATGCGCCCCGTACAGGCGAAGCCCTCTGGCAGACGCGAGCAAGGATGGAGGCGGACAAGCCAGCACTGTCTTGCACACGCCCATGGCCGTGTAGCAAATGCCACTATGTTCTCAGGGTGGAGGGCTCCTCCTCCTCCTCCTCCTCCTCCTCCTCCTCCTCCAGGGTGAAATCCATATGGACTTCTGCACCTTGAGAGTCCATTCGTCTTGTGATTCTCCTTGTGCAGACTCAAGCCTCGAAGGCCCATCGAGACGGCACTTCAGAGATCAGCCTTCGCCCTCCACCTAAAGAAAATGCTCGGACTTATAAGGGTCGGAGGGTATTTTCCTCTCTTGAGATGCCCGTCCTGCCGAGGTCGACAATCGGAGATCCCCAGGACGACCCCGCGCCCGCCCGGCCCGCCCCTGCGCCCTCGCTGCCTGAAATGGACCAGCTTGGCTGCGGCACCCGAAGTTTACCTTTAGGTCGGGCCTGTCCCCCTACAGGGGAATGTGTGACGAGAAATTGAATTCAATTTCGGGAGCGGCCAAGAGAGGGGTGTCCAAGAGGGGGGGGTGCAAATCATGACCGGCGGCATGTGCGCGGCCCAGCGGGGGGGGCATAAGAAGAGGCGCCATGAAATCTGAGGAAAAATCATGGCCCGCGCCATGAAATCTACACCCCCCTAGTCATCACCCCCCTCTTTTCCGCCCCCGACAATCTACCTGTCGCCTGCGCCACGAACACGACCCGGGCCGACCGGAGCCCGCGAGCCATCGGACCGTGCTCGACAGCCGAAGGACCGATCGCACCGCGCATTGTCCTGCCTCTCTATTCCAGGCCCAACCACACGGGCAACTCATCATCATCATCATCATCATCATCATCATCATCATCATCATCATCATCATCATCATCATCATCATCATCAGCATCATCATCATCATCATCATCATCATCATCATCATCATCATCATCATCATCAGCATCATCATCATCATCATCATCATCCTCATCATCATCATCATGATCATCATCATCATCATCATCATCATCATCATCATCATCATCATCATCATCGATGCCATTGCAGACGCGGCTCGAGGCACGAGCTTGAGTGCATCCAGGTTCTGTGAACCTCTGTGCTCAAAACAAAAATATGAATGGCCCAGACGCCAAAAGCACAGATTTCCGTGGGATCCGCGCATGTTCTCGCAGGACTTGGCCAGGTGCAAGAGGTCCCAAAACAGGCCAAGAAGGCTCCAAGACGCCTCCGAGATGGTCCAAGGGGCCCCGGACAACCCAAGAGCTTTCCAAGGCGCCCCAGATGGCCTCAAGACGGTCTCAGAGGCCCCCAAATCGCCCCAATGGTTAAGTCGGGCCTGTCCCCCTACAGGGGGATTTTCGACGAACAACAAAAAATACAATCAAACAAAAAAACAAAAAAAACAACAAAAAATAGCCCCAAAATAGTCTGGGGACTATGTTTCTCTTATGTTTTGCAATTCTTGGGGCATTTTTGTGGTATTTTGCTGTTCCGCCGAAAATCCCCCTGTGGGGGGACCGACTTAACCCACTGGCCCCAAGACAGCCCAACATGTCATCAAGACCGCCCAGGAAGCCCCCGAGACACCCTGCAAAGGCTCCCAGAGAGGAAACCCCGACGAGGGGCTCCTGAATCAAGGGCCCCCACAGGGCCCCAAGACGGCCCCGAGAAGCCCGTCCCGAGCGGCTTCCCCGACGACTGGGAGAACATGCAGTCCACCAACACGGCCGCACTCTCGCCCGAGACTTCAGCGCTCAAGCGTTTCCCAAAAGGCAGGGGGGCGGCGGTGACTCGCTATTCTTCCCCGGTCCAGAGCCTCCGAGTCTTCACTTTGACATCTGCCCTGCGAGCAAGCCGCTTCGACTCGATGCTTAACTGACCTCCAAGGGATCAGCGCTGAATGCAGGACTGGTGCGCAGCAGTTTCACAACTGACAGTCCTGGGGCAAGGGTGACATCATGACGCGGCTCGCATTGGCTCAGGACGCGTTCCAAGAATTCTGGAGTATCTAGCGGCCCTCGTTTCTAGAGCCCGTGGGGGACAATAGGGGATACTGGGCCCATCTGGGGATATTGGAAATCTCGGAAAGGTTCACAGCCATGACTTCCTGCTGCTCCGAAGCCGATTCGCACATCCAAACTTGACCCATACATCGTTTACAATTCTGCAAGATTGAAGAAACAGCTGGATTACCATGGTTTCATAATTGCTTTTGCTGGCGCACATATCATGGTCGATTTGCATTTGCTCCACATTTGAACCACAACTCTTTCGCGGTAGTTTCATGAACGAATCGCTGCACTATCACAACTGGCTGTCGCTCGGTTTCTAAGAAATCTTCACCGCGGCGCCACGACGCCACGGGACCGCGACGCCATGACCGTGCGAGACCACAATGCCGCGATGCCACCACATGACCACACTTGATGCATGACTGAGTGGCACTGGATTCGCGTGTCATAGCTGATAGCATCGATTCAGAAGCTGTCTTCCACTCGTGGGCGACTGAGCCACAACTCCATCAGTTCATACACCGTAGAGCGATGCAGCGGCACCACGGATGATGCAGCGCTGCGGCACCACGACGCACGCTGCGCCCCCGCGACGACAAACCAGCAACTCCTCCGCAAACTGGCCGGACATTCGACGTCGAGAGTCCGTCGATGTGTGCTCCAAAATCGCCACTGTGCCTCGAGGCACGAAGTGGAGTGCCCCCCAGGCTTGTAGAGTTCTCTTTATCCTGTATCCGATACTCAAATGTTGAAAGTAAGGGCACGGAGCCCAACATCTCAAATCTTCCAGGCGGTCCCGTGCGCTCCCAGGCCTCCCGGCATGACTTGTCAAGAGGCCCGAGGCCCCTATCACAGGCCATGAGGGCCCCAAGAGGCCTCCAAAACGGTCCAAGATGGCCCCGAGTCGCCCAAATACCGCTCCAAGCCACCCAAGATGGCGCACAGACAGCCCGACAGGCTTCCAAGACACCCCAAGAGGGCCCCAAGAGGCCTCAAGTGGAGGAGGAGGAGGAGGAGGAGGAGGAGGAGGAGGAGGAGGAGGTGGGCCCCGACATGCCCAAATCACTAATTTTCCATAGGTGTTCGAAGAATCCTGCGCTCTCGCCTTGTCAAACATTCGACCGTCCAGAGCTTGGTTGGCAGCGCGCACAAGGGAGTACACCCTGCGAAATGCTTAAGAAATCATGGGTTAAGAAATTCATAGTCTCAGAACTTGAATAAAAAACCGAAATTTCTATTGAAATCTTAGGATTTACGTTGAAACGTTAAGAATAATCGAGACTCTGGCCGAAAACTTAGGTTTTCTTAAGCATCGCCTAAGGTGTAGGGGGATTGGGGAAGGCTGTTTACAAGGCGGCTGCGTCTTCCAAGGCACCAGCCGCCCTTCTAAGAAGCCAGGGGCGCGCCACTTCTTGAAAGTACCCCAGCAGTTTCTTAGAAGCACGGAACTGTTTCGTAGAAGCAGGGACAGCTTCTTAGATGCAAGCCACCTGCTTCTTAGAAACACGCCAGGAACAACTTCTAAGAAGCAGCTACAACCTTCCTAGAAGGGGTGCCCGCGCGTTCTAAGAAGCAGGGTGCTTCGAAGAAGCCTTTCCCCCATCCCCTTACCCCGTCTGCGGTTGGCTGAAGAAGGGCCCGGAAGACCCCCCAAGATCGCCCCACGACGGCCCAATAGGCCCCCGCGAGCCCCCAAGCGGCTCGAGATGGCCCCAAGACGCCCCAAAATGCCCTAGACGGGCCCAATAGGTGTCCAAAAGGGGGCCCGAGAGAAGCCCCACGGGGGGAGCACGACCAGAAATTTCGAGACATTCGCCCAAGGAGGCTCCGAACAAGCTGCAGGATGCCATCAAGAGGCCCGCATCATGCCCCAGGAGGCCCCCAAGAGACCTCCGAGAGGCCCCCAGGACACTCCAAAATCGAATCCGAAAGGCTTCCGAAGAGGACTCCCAAGAGATCCCCACAAGCATCCCAGAGGCCTCTGGCCTGCAATCCACGCACACTGGCAGGATGGGGGGAGGCCACTAGATATTCATCTAGACCACCTGCAGCCAACAAACATTATGTTTGCCAACGTTTACCCCAAGCAGGGAGCTCATGCGATCTATGTGGGTCAATAGCTGTGCTCCGCTATATGTGATATAAACTATGCGAAGCCGTATGCCGTGCACTATATATATATGTATATGGATATGTATATATATATAACTGTACATTTGTGGAAACACATGTATATGATGTGAGCTACGTGGCTATGTGGTGCAACACATGAGGTGCAAGCTTTGTGGTGGAATCTAAATGATGTACACGGTTTGGAGCTAGCTAGATTGTGACATACAGGTGGTTTAAAATGATGTGGTGCTATCGACGTGGTGCTATCTATGTGGTGCAAACTGTGTGGCGCAGCCTATGTGGTGTAGTGGTTTTCCAAACGAACCAAGAATGCCATGGTCTTGCAAACATCCCACCAACCCACCCGCAACTTGGTTTGCAAAACGCATTCGGCGGCGATTGAGATGAGTGCTTGGCGCTGGCTGGTGCATCTCTGCGGCCAGCTTGTTTGGCGCGACCGACGCGGCCGCGGTGGCGCTGACCGCTGGGCACATCCCAGCGGGCACTTCAATGCAAGTCGGCGACTTGGGCGGGCACGGTAACATGGCAGCGCCGACAACGGTAGACACGATGATGACAATATCGATACTGGTGACGATGATGACAGCGACGACGGCGCGGCCAATGACGGTGCCGATGCTGATCAAGCCGGCGACGATGACGGCGTCCTCGCGTCGGTGATGAAAATGTTGGACGGATTTCGACATGCGCAAGGCCGACGCGCGGGAGTGGCCGCATGGTATTATTTGACACGGATCGTGACCCCCCCCCGGCCCGCGCGCAAGGGCGTCCGAATGATTTCGGCATGCGGCGCGAGAGGCCTCTCTAGCATAATGTCATGAACATGTTCAGAAATCGATGGTTTCCTAAAAATTCGCAAGAGCGCGAGCGCAAGTTTTTTTGAATACTGATGTTGCGCAACCATATGCATTCTTATATGGTTTCGGGACACTCGGTTTGACATCCTTCCGAAACCTCTGGGTTTGGGGAGATTTCGGCATGCGCGCGAGACCACGCGCGCGCATGCACTTCGTCTCATTTCTTGTGAAGGACTCTTGCGACAGCACGCGCGCAACGGTGTTCAAACGATTTCGACATGCGCGCGCGAAACCGGTTTGGTAGTATGTTATGGGGATGTTGAAGAACCGACGGTTTTCTCAAGAATTCGCTGGACCGCGCGCGCAAGATGTTTGTTGAAGATCCGTGTTGTGAAACCATGTGCTTCTGTATGTGATTTGGACATTCGATTTTGAAGTCCGATAAAACACAATGGTTTTGAAGGATTTCGGCATGCGCGCGCGACGACGAGCGCGTGTACACTCCGTCCCGCGCTTTTGACAGGGATTCTCGAACACTTATGATTTGTGATACACGAGCGTGCGGCATACAAAGTTTTGCATCATGACGGGGGGGCGATACTGGCCTGCCTGGGATGGTACGAATTCATACTTAAGAGGGACAATAGAGCAGAATCATGTGTAACATAAACTTTGCTTTGCAAGCTGCGCGGTGCAAACGCTGTGGTGTTACGCTCTCTGCCTGCGGGGCGCCCGCGGCGAGCGCCCACGAGGCGGCACGGGCGGCACAGTGGCGCGACCTCGACTTAGGTCGGGCGTGTCCTCCTACAGGCGGAATTTGGACGACAAATCAAACATACTCATATATATATATATAGATATGCATACATATATATATGTATACATATATATATATATATATATATATGTATACATATATACACATATATATATACATATATATATATATAATCGAAACATCGTTACCGTACAATTTTTTTTTGGCTATTTTTGAATGCTCCCCCCAGCGCACCGGGGCGCCGACGAGCGCCCGCGAGTCGACGACGAGGTAACATCTCGGCGGGCCCGCGCCAGCGCAACGGGGCGCCCACGAGCGCCCATCGAGGCGGCGCGGGGGCCGCCAGCGCGAGACGCGCTCGGCGGGCCTGTCTACAGGGCAGGTTTTGATACATAGGACTTCTCAAAATATGGGATTTTTGATGGATGATTAATGTAGGATTTTTTCAAATATAGGATTTTTAATATGAGATTTTTTAATATAGGATTTTTCAAATGTAGGATTTCTAAAAACATGATGAATTTACGGATCAATCAACGCATCAATTCATCATCGCTTTTGATCCTCAGTCCCTGTATTTTTTTCATACACGATCCGCACGCGGAGCATGGATAGAAAGAGACGGCGCTGCAATGACGTAATTAGGAGGCTCGAGCAAGAGCCCCGAAGTGCAGACACCGAGGGGGGGCAGAAACTGCACCAGCGCAAGGAGGAGGAGGGAGGAGGAGGAGAAGGAGGGAGGAGGAGGGAGGAGGAGGCAGGAGGAGGGAGGAGGAGGAGGAGGAGGAGGAGGAGGAGGAGGAGGGAGGAGGAGGGAGGAGGAGGAGGAGGAGGGAGGAGAGGAGGAGGAGGAGGAGGAGGAGTGAGGAGAGGAGGAGGAGGAGGAGGAGGAGGAGGAGGGCGGAGCTCCGCGCGGAGCTCTCGGATCTGCGCCGGACCACCCTCCCCGGCGCGTGGAGCGGGCCTCGGGCGGCGCCCCGGTGGCGAGGCGCCCTGGGGCGCCTCGGGCGCAGCCCCGAGAGATCCGCGGGGAGCTCGGACATTTTCTGGCTGGCCCAATTTGAAGGGGCCCCAGGACACACAAATAAATACACACACATAAAAATATCCCCCATATTTTTCTATATTTTCTGGGTTTTTGTCTTCCCCCCCACTTCCCATATTTTCCCATATTTTCCTGGGGCATGACGATTCATTGTATCTGTGTGTTTTTTTCCCTCCTGACAATTCCTCCCCCTTGGCACGGTAAAACAGCAACTCGGTCTTCGAGGGGGGCCAGAAACTGCACCAGCGCAACCTTAGAGAAGAAACGGTGTGAACAAAAGACCTAGCTATTTAGACCCGAAAGCTGGAGATGTCTATTTGGATCGTAGAGGTCTGAAGAGATCGGAAAAGTCTATTTCGACAGCCTACCTAAATAGAGCGGAAAATATTGTCATGGCTTGTGGAGCTCCCCGCGGAGCTCTCGCAGATCTGCGCCGGACCGCCCTCCCCGGCGCGTGGAGCGAGCATCGGGCGGCGCCCCGGAGGCGCCGCCGCTGGGGCGCCTCTGGCGCAGTCCCGAGAGACCCGCGGGGAGCTCAGAGACTTTCTACTGGTTGGCCCAAGTTCTCCTGCACGGTCTCCCCCGGGGCCGTAGGCGACCCGAGGAGGAGGAGGAGGAGGAGGGGGAGGAGGAGGAGGTGGTGGAGGAGGGGAGGGCGGAGGAGGAGATGGAGAAGGAGGAGGAGGAGGAGGAAGAGGAGGAGGAGGAGGAGGAGGAGGAGAGAGGAGGAGGAGGGGTCGCCTAAGCCCTTCGGAGAAACCCTCCAAGTTCTCCCCCTTGGTACGGTAAAAGAGCAACTCGGCCTTCGAACCTCGGGCTTCGAGGGGGGACACCGCACTCACGGTGCAAAGCCTCGAAGGGCGCTCTGCTTGCAGAGCGGCGCGCCGCCCCCCGCACCCCCCCCGCCTTGGGGTCGTCGCCGTCGTCGTAGAATATCTTGCACCGCCTGGCAGCCTCCTCGAAGAGCTCCGGGGTCCTCTAGCCCAGGCCCGATGAGGGGAGCACAGGAGGAGTAGGAGACTCGAAAGGTTGAACGATCCCCGCGGTGTCAGGAGCCAACGCCAGGGTCGACACGACCTGGAGCCCGAACGAAAGGCCAGGAGACCACGCCAGGAGGGAGAGGAGGAGGGCAGAGGGAACAGGAAGGGTCGACGGGAGGAGGAGGGCGCGAGGACAGGGAGGGCGAAGGGGAGGATGAGCGCGAGCTGGGCGCGGGGGAGGACGGGCCGCGGACACCCGGCGGCGCGATGCCTCCTGACCCAATCCCCGGGGGGTACCTTGGTGCTTGGTGCCCCAGGTTCGGACGAAGCCAGGACGAGGATGACATCGGGTGAGGATGAATCGAGGATCTCTGGGAGCTGGCGGCCTTGGAGGATGTCTCGGGCGCCGCGTCCTCCTCACAGAATGCAGGCGCGCTCTGAGAGCGCTCTGGAACGGAGTTATCCTCGTCCTACTTCTGGAGATGAATTCGTCCCACCACCACAACCACCGCGCGGCTCAAACCTGAACCACAGGGACATCAAGTCTTTCAAAACCTATGGCCCTCCGACACATAAGCAACAACAACCTACGACATAATGCCATACGCGAATGGCGGGCCGTCTTATCAACATCACGATCGATGGCTTGACCTCGGCATTTTAGCGCAGAGGTTCGGCCGCGACTGTCGGCAGTGGCCCCGTGCCGCGAAGCGCACGACAATGAGCAACAACACGATCCAGGGACAAATGCCTTGTGACATCTCATGGCGAAGCGAGGGAGAACGGAGGAGCGCGGGGGGAGGCGGGAGGGGACGGACCGACTCGGGAAGGGGCAACAGAGCCGGGGCCACAGGCCGAGAGGGAAATGGAGGTAGCACGAGGGGGGAAGAGAAGCCAAGAACGGGCACCTGGAGGCCGACGTCGAGGAACAGCGCCGGGATTTGCACAACTCGTGTCGCCGGAGATCTGCGGATCAGCACAGGGGCGCACCCGCCATCGCTCGGACGTCCACTCCGTGCGCACTTGTGTCGGCTCCGCGCGAGGACTTCGTCGCAGGGTGACCCCAAAGGGCTCCTCGACGGCCCTCGCTGGGGACCGAATGCACGTCCGAGCGATGCCAAGGGCATGAGCGGCAGGGGAGGCATGGGGTTAAGTCGGGCCTGTCATCCTACAGCGGGATTTGCGACGAAAAATAAAAAATACCCCCAACAGAATCAAAAAACGATGCAAACCTAGTCTGGGGACTATTTTGTGAACATGTTTTTACATGTTTGGTGCACTTTTGGGATCTGTTTCTCATTTGTTATCCAAAGCCCCCCTGTAGGGGGACAAGCCCGACTTGACCCTGACCTTCCAGGAGGGCTAAAAAATGGCACCCGACGTAAAAACCTGTCCCAGAGCTATGTTACGTCTTGGTTTCAGGCTGTTTCGTCTCGTGTTTTCGGTTTTTAGGTTTCCAGTGCTAAAAAATAGCTCTCTGGAAGGTCAGGGCAGGTGCCTCCCGCGGGCCTCCCGCGGGCCTCCGAGGGCCTCCGAGGGCCTCCGGGGGCCTCCGAGCGCACCTCAAAGCCGCCGGCAGCCTCCGGAGATCGTCGAGCATAGCGCGGGGGAGTCGCCGGCGGCGGCGGCGGCGAGGGAGGGCGGCGGCGGCGGCGAGGGGGAGGTCGGCGGCGAGGGCGGGGCCCTCCTGTCTCCCCCGTGGGGGCAGGGCGGGGCCCCCTGTAGGGGGACACGCCCGACTTGAGCATGGGGGGGGGAAATGGACATGGAGGGGCGACCCCCGTGCCCGCGCCCTGGCGCGGCGCTCCGACGCGAGCAGCGAAGGGCGGGGCACCGGCAGGGCCGCTCCCGCCCCGCACGGCCCGCACGCCTCTCGGAGCGGGAAGGGAAGGGGGCCATAGGGGGGGATTTGGGGTGAGGAGGAGGAGGAGGAGGAGGAGGAGGAGGAGGAGGAGGGGGAGGAGGAGGAGGAGGAGGAGGAGGAGGAGGAGGAGGAAGAGGAGGAGGAGGAGGAGGAGGCAAGCGTACGACAGGAGGAGGAGGAGGAGGAGGAGGAGGAGGAGATGCCCCCCCCTCGGTGGCAACTCATGGGAGCCTCCCGTGCCATCTGGTCGACGCTGAGTCGACGCTGATCCAGGCCGATCCTGCCCCCCCCCCCCCACGCCTCTCGCCAACTGCTTTCGCAGTAGTCCGTCTTTGACACATCCAAGAGTGTCACCTCTGACGGTCAAACACGAATGCCCCCCAACTATCCCTATTCATCATTACCTCAGCTCTAGAAACCAACAAAATAGAACCGAGGCCCTATCTTATTATTCTATGCTAATGGATTCAACGCGTAAGCCTGCTTGAAACACTGCAATCCCGAGATGCCCTCCCCCTCGGTGGCAACTCGTGAGAGCCGCTCATGCCATCTGGTCGGCTCTTGCGAAGCGACGCTGGTCGACGCTGAATCGAGGCTGATCCAGGCTGAATATTCGGGACGGGAAAGTGACCACAGCCACTGCTTCTTGTTTGCGCCGCCTTCCAGCCGGCCGAAAAAGAAGCAGTGGTTGTGGTCATTTCCCTGGTGCCAAGCTCAACGAAAATGACCAGAACCACTGCTTTGTTGCTGCGGGCTGGAAGGCGTCAACAAAAGAAAAGCAGTGGCTGTGGTCGTTTTCACGCCCCGTATCATGAATCGACGCCCATCGACGCGAAACCCTCCTCCTCCGCCTACTCCTCCGCCCCCTCGCCACGAGGGCGCGCGCCGGCGCCTCCTCGCGCGACGGCAAAGCCGATTTGTTTAACTATTTTTGAATGTTCCTCCTGTAGAGGGACAGGCCCGACTTAAGGGTATACGCCAAGCTCTCATGATTTGCTGCCGAACCCCCCCCCGACTCCCTGGCGCCGCGAGAGGGTGGGTCACGGCGGGAGCTCTCTGCCAAGAAGCTTTGGCCTCTGGGAGAGCCCTCTTCCGAGCCCTGGGGACCGCCTCGCGGCTCGGGAGGACCCCCCCCCGTCCCATGGAAGGGGTCAAAGCTTAAGCCAGGCGTGCCCCTCTACAGGAGGAGTACGCAGAAATAGCTTTAAAACATGGAGACGGTTTTGTTTGATTATTTTGGAATATGTTGGTGGCATTTCGTATACACCCTGCGAAATGCTTAAGAAATCATGGGTTAAGAAATTCATAGTCTCAGAACTTGAACAAAAACCCAGAACTTCGAACTTCTATTGAAACCTTGGGATTTACATTGAAAAGTTAAGAATAATCGAGACTCTGGACGAAAACTTAGGTTTTCTTAAGCATCGCCTAAGGTGTATTATGGGGACATGCCCACCCTAAGCCAAAGCCCTCCGGCGCTGCGAGCCGAAACGCGACGAGTGCAGGCCCTGCCTGCCCCGCGAGCCCCTGCGCGTCGTGCCCCTGCGGCGCCCCCGGTCGGGGAGCTGCTGGCTCTGGGGGAAGGGGCCCATGGAGCCCCACGGGCCTCCCGGGGGGGGGCCTCCCGGGGCAGAGGTCTGCCCTCCATACCCAGACCTCATGGCGTCGTGAAGAAATCACGACGGGAGTTTTTTTTATATTTTCGGCCTCCGGGGGCCCTCCTCGGGCCTCGGGAGCGTCAAAAAACGACTCAGGACGAAGAACCGGTCCCGGGGAAGGGGTCCAGACCTCTGCGGGTCGACGTTGTGAAAAAATCACGCCGTCGGGGGTCTGGGTATGCAGGGCCCCTCACCGGGCCCCGGGGCCGTCAAGAGCCAGCTCGGGACGAGGAGCGGGCCCCAGGGAAGGGGTCCAGGTCTCCAGGGGTCAACGCTGCGAACAGAGACGCGACGTCGGACGTCTTGGAGCAGGGCCTACGGTCAAGACCTGTTGCTCAGCGGGTCGCGGCGGCGGCCCCGGCGGCACGCTGTGCACCTGCTTAAGCGGACAGCCTGTCGACTCCGCTCCGCGGGGCGGCTGGGAACGCCTCGCGACGTGGACGCCTGGGGACTGGGCCGTGGCTGGCGTGTCGTGCTGCCAGAACCGGCGGCGCGACACGCTGAGCCAACAGTCCCGACCGTAGCGAATCAGCTCACGCAGCTGACTTTCCCGGCGCCTCCTGGCGCCTCCTGGCGCCAGAGTATCCACCCGGGCGCCCAGAGGCGGGCCCATGGCCAACTGCATGCGGCCGACTTTGAAGGGGCCCTGAGACACACAAATAAATACACACAAATAAACGGATTCCGCGTATTTTCTCATATGTTCTAGGTTTTTGTCCTCCCCCCCAATTCCCATGTTTCCTGGGAGTCGACGATGAATTGTGTCTGTGTGTTTTTTCCCCTCCTGAGACTTCGTGACCCCCTCCCTCTCTCCCCAGCCGCTGCTCCTCTCCCACCGCAGAGGCGGGCGCTCCGGCTGGCGAACTGGTCCACCACCCACGCGGGAAACGCGTAGCCGCGGTGGTACACCGCGCGCAGCTCGCGCATCAACTCCAGGTTCTTCCCGTGGTCGATGGCTAAGCCTGGCGGCCGAGCTCCGCATGCAGGGTCGCGGCGCCGTCGGGCGCCCACGCGCCGTGCGAGCGCGAGCAGGGATCGCTCTGGAGAGCCGGGCAATCTCCGGCAGTACTGCTGGAGATTGCCCGGCTCTCCAGAGCATGCCGTCATGAACGTGGGTCTGTCGATCCTCCTCTGATCGGTGCCATCCGTGGTATCGCCGATGCCCCTTTTCTTAGGTCGGGCCTGTCCCCCTACAGGGGGACTTGGCATGCTTTTCTTTTGCAATAGGAGCCCAGACCTCCTGGCGTCGTAATTTTTTCATGACGCCCCTCTTGTAATGAATTTTCTGTGATGTCTTGATTTTTTGTTACACGTTTCAATGTCTTGATTTTGGCTCAATTGACAGCGCCTTGTCAGCCCTTGATAACCACTGAGAAGCCTTGACATCCACGGCACCCATGGATTCCCGTTGTGAACCTAATTGGCCGAGCGGATTTCGGGTGACCCGCGCAGTGGGCGGGTCACCCCCGCGCGCGGGTGACCATGGTCACCCGCGCGCGCGCGTAGGGAGTTCTGTATCGTCCACAACAGAGAAGTCGGCGCGTCCGTCGGCCTCCTATAAAGAGCCCCAGAAATTTTGAATTCAGTTTTTGGCATCACATGTCGACTTCTCCATTGTGGACAATACAGAACTCCAACGCCCGCGCGCGCGCGTAGGGAGTTCTGTATCGTCCACAACAGAGAAGTCGGCGCGTCCGTCGGCCTCCTTGAAGAGCCCCAGAAACTTTGAATTCAGTTTTTGGAATCACATGTTGACTTTTCCATTGTGGACAATACTGAACTCCAACGCGCGCGCGCGCGCGGGTGACCATGGTCACCAGCGCGCGCGTAGGGAGTTCTGTATCGTCCACAACAGAGAAGTCGGCGCGTCCGTCGGCCTCCTTAATGAACCCCAGAAATTTTGAATTCAGTTTTTGGGATCGCATGTAAACTTTTCCATTGTGGACAATACCGAACTCCAACGCGCGCGCGCGCACGCGCGGGTGACCATGGTCACCCGCGCGCGCGTAGGGAGTTCTGTATCGTTCACAACAGAGAAGTCGGCACGTCCGTCGGCCTCCTTAAAGAGCCCCAGAAATTTTGAATTCAGTTTTTGGGATCGCATGTGGACTTTTCCATTGTGGACAATACCGAACTCCAACGCGCGCGCGCGCGTAGGGAGTTCTGTATCGTCCACAACAGAGAAGTCGGCGCGTCCGTCGGCCTCCTTAATGAACCCCAGAAATTTTGAATTCAGTTTTTGGGATCGCATGTAGACTTTTCCATTGTGGACAATACCGAACTCCAACGCGCGCGCGCGCGCGCACGCGCGGGTGACCATGGTCACCCGTGCGCGCGTAGGGAGTTCTGTATCGTCCACAACAGAGAAGTCGGCGCGTCCGTCGGCCTCCTTAAAGAGCCCCAGAAATTTTGATTTCAGTTTTTGGGATCGCATGTAGACTTTTCCATTGTGGACAATACCGAACTCCAACGCGCGCGCGCGCGCGCGAGGGAGTTCTGTATCGTCCACAACAGAGAAGTCGGCGCGTCCGTCGGCCTCCTTAAAGAGACCAGAAATTTTGATTTCAGTTTTTGGGATCGCATGTAGACTTTTCCATTGTGGACAATACCGAACTCCAACGCGCGCGCGCGCGTAGGGAGTTCTGCATCGTCCACAACAGAGAAGTCGGCGCATCCGTTGGCCTCCGTAAAGAGCCCCAGAAATTTTGAATTCAGTTTTTGGAATCACATGTTGACTTTTCCATTGTGGACAATACCGAACTCCAACGCGCGCGCGCGCGCGCGCGCGCGCGCGCGCGCGCGGGTGACCATGGTCACCAGCGCGCGCGTAGGGAGTTCTGGATCGTCCACAACAGAGAAGTCGGCGCGTCCGTCGGCCTCCTTAGCACCAGGAATTTTGAACTCAGTTTTCGGGATCGCATGTAGACTTTTCCATTGTGGACAATACCAAACTCCAACGCGCGCGCGCACGCGCGGGTGACCATGGTCACCCGTGCGCGCGTAGGGAGTTCTGTATCGTCCACAACAGAGAAGTCGGCGCGTCCGTCGGCCTCCTTAAAGAGCCCCAGAAATTTTGATTTCAGTTTTTGGGATCGCATGTAGACTTTTCCATTGTGGACAATACCGAACTCCAACGCGCGCGCGCGCGCGCGCGCGCGCGTAGGGAGTTCTGTATCGTCCACAACAGAGAAGTCGGCGCGTCCGTCGGCCTCCTTAAAGAGCCACAGAAATTTTGAATTCAGTTTTTGGGATCGCATGTGACTTTTCCATTGTGGACAATACCGAACTCCAACGCGCGCGCGCGCGCGCGGGTGACCATGGTCACCAGCGCGCGCGTAGCGCGCGCGCGTTGGAGTTCGGTATTGTCCACAATGGAAAAGTCAACATGCGATCCCAAAAACTGAATTCAAAATTTCTGTGGCTCTTTAAGGAGGCCGACGGACGCGCCGACTTTTCTGTTGTGGACGATACAGAACTACCTACGCGCGCGCGGGTGACCATGGTCACCTGCGCGCACGTTGGAGTTCTGTATTGTCAACAACCGAAGAGCCCTTAACGGTGACCGATTTGAGTTTGAAGTTAACATGCGATTTCTTGGAATTCCACAACCGAAAAGTCGCCATGTTGGCCAAGCGCGTGGAAATTTTGACCACGTGGCAATGCGCAACTACAAAAAGCTGCTCTTCCTCTTTTCACTTCCCCTCCTTCTTCCCCCCCCTCCCCCCTGGGGAGCGGCGCGGAAAAGGAAGAGGGGGGGGAGGAGGAGGAGGAGGAAGGGGAGGAGGAGGACGACGACGAAAACGACGACGAGGACAAATGAAAAAGGAGGTCGAGGAGGAGGAGGAGGGGGAGGAGGAGGAGGAGGGGGAGCAGGGCGAGGAGGACGAGAGGAGGACGGGGACAAAGGAGAAGGGCGAGGGGGAAGCGGGAAGAGGAGGGGAGGGCGCGCGCGGCGCCGCGCGCGCGGGAACGCCGTGGCTCGAGGGCGCCCCCCGCCGACGGCGCCCGCGCGGCGGGCCCAGCCGCGCGGGCTCGGCCCAGAGAGGCTTGTTGGGGGAGGGCAGAGGACGAGGAGGAGGGGGGGAGGAGGAGGAGGAGGAGGAGGAGGAGGAGGAGGAGGAGGAGGAGGTGGAGGATGAGGACGGGGGCCCAACGTTCGCGCGCATGCCGCGCCGCGCTGGGCACGAGCGCCAGGAGGCGCGACGTCGGAGAGGCGTCGTGGTCCAGGCAGTGCCAGGCGCGCTAGGCTATGTCTTGCTGCTCCAGTTCACCCTGGTGAAGTCGCGCGAGTGCCCTGTTGGGCCCCGCGCGGCTTCAGGGTGGACGTGCCGCCGCCGAGCAGCGGCGGCATGTGGTTTGTGCACGCCGATCTTGTTGCAGGCGCGTTTTCCCCCACCCCTCCCTTTTTTTGGTTGTGTGTTGTTTTGTTGTGGTTCCCCTTAGGCATCCTCGTCCCCCTGCGCGAGCGCGGGTGGCTCACCCAGGCCATCCTGCTCTACTGGTGGCGCCTCCCAGGGAGGCGCCTCATATGCCAGCAGGGTTAATCATTGTCTACGACTTCGCGGGCCTGGTCAGGCAGCCGCTCGGCGTTTGACTGCAGGCTTCACAGAAGAGACACAACAAAAAAATACGAGGGGGAGGAGGAAAGGGGAGGAGGAAGAGGAGGAGGAGGAGGAGGATCGAAGAGGAAACCGAAGAGGAGGAAACGAGCGGGAACGGGGAGGGGCGGGAGGAGGAACGGCCATGTTTGGAATTGAGGAGAAGGAGGCAGGAGGAGGAGGGGGAGGCAGGAGGATGAGGAGGAGAGGGAGGAGAAGGAAGGGCAGCTGGGAGGGGGGCATCGCCAGGCCCATGTCGGGTCGCAAGCCCGCGCCCTGCGTGCACGAGAAGACGGCGGAGGTGGAGGTGAGCGTGGTGGCCGACGTCGGCCCAGGGGGGGCGCTCCGGTAGTAAGGAGACAGCGGTGGCGAGGAGAAGAATGGTGATGATGCTGATGCTGATGATGATGATGATGATGATGACGACGACGACGACGATGATGATGATGATGCTGATGATGATGATGATGATGATGATGATGATGGTGGTGATAACGATGATGAGGAGGGGGATGGCGAAAAGAAGGAGGAGAATGAAGAGGGGGAATATGAGGATGATGAGGATGAGGATGATGAGGAGGATGATGAGGATGAGGATGATGAGGAGGATGATGAGGATGAGGATGAGGATGATGAGGATGATGAGGATGATGAGGATGATGACGACGACGGCGCTAGCCACCCCCCTCCCGCGCCCCACGCGCAGGTCCTCTACAACAGCTGGGAGAGCCACTGGCCGCTCTACGACGGCGCCTCTAGTGGATGGGGATGGGCTGGAATGATGAGGACGATGAGGGAGGAAGATGGAGGAGGGAGGAGGGATGAGGAGAAGGGGACGAGGACGATGATGAGCAGGCGCAGGAGAAGGAGAATGAGGAGGGGGGAAGAGGAGGAGCTGGAGGAGCAGCAGGAGAGAAGAAGATGAAGATGATGATGAGGAGGAGGAGGAGCAGCGGCGTCAAGAGGGGCAGGAGCAGGAGGAGGAGGAGTGAGAGGAGACGGTGAAAGACGGCCTCGAGGCTACGCAGCTGTGCCTCAGTTCAGCTACAGCCCGAAGAAGTTCGGGGACAGACCTCATTATGAGGAGATCGAGGCGCTCGGCCAGGGGGGGTGGGATGAGGGATGGCACGACGATCGACCGTGAGATCGATTGAATGAGGTTGACAATGAGGTCGATGGTGAGATCGAGTGGGATCGATCGATCGTGAGATGGATCGCGAGATCGATCGTGAGAGTGATAGTGGGATCGATAGTGGGAGCGACCGTGAGATCGATCGTGAGCTCGATCGTGAGATCGATAATGTGTTGGATTGTGAGATCGATAGTGGTATCTACCGTGGTATTGGTCGTCAGATCGAGCGTGA